CGTCGAATAGGCGGAGCTTCACGTACAGCCATGTTGATGTTATTTTGGGGAGAAGATTTCCGCAAAATGCTCTAAGAGAAACGTAGTTTAGGGCAAGGCGGAGAGAGAGAGAGGGACAGAGACAGAGACAGAGAGAGGAGGGGAGGGCTGACGGACGACAGAACGAACGGCTGTGCCTGATTAGCGGCACTGCGGCAGAGGTACAAGGCGAGGATGGCCTGTCGTCGCCGACGGAGTGAGCGCTGGGGAAGGATGAGAAAATGTCTCATTTTGATCAACTGCCTCGACGCAAGCGCCAGCGGGCGGCCCCTGCGAGCATACATACAACGGATATACGCACGGAGAAGACGTCGAGTCAAGGCCAGCGGTTTTGGGTGCGATATGTCCTTGCTGCTGGTAGGTATTACTACGGATGTACCCATGCATGCCTAGTACTGAGTACCTAGGACAGTCTGCGTCGGCAAAAGCCGGCGCCCCGGACACTATTGACACGGCGGGTTTATCAGAACAGAAAATAGAAGCAGAGCCGGGAGGGAGAGTAGGAGACAGATTGGTCCTGAACCAGGCTTGGACAAGGACCGACTCGACGGGTATAGCATAATACCTAGGTAGCATAGCACAGCACAGCACCAGGGCATGAAGTGCAGCACGTGCCAACATGATATGGTGCGCTGGATGTGGATGGTGGGGAGAAGAATGTGCGTGCTACGGATACTGTCTGTGGAAAGGTCGGGAGCTTTGATGGAAAGTTGCCAGTCGGAGCGTGGGATGATTGGACTGCAATGATGAGACGAGACAGGCGGCGGCGGGAAGTGGCTAAAAGAAATGGACGGCGGTCTCACGAGGGCAGATGCGACCTGCAGGTGTAGCAGAGCAGAAAACGGTTGGTTGCGGGGATTGGTCGAGGTTCGGAAAGGAGGAGCTGGACAGTGGACAGATTCCGAGGGAATTGAGGTGTATGTGTGGTGAGAAAGTGGCTCCGAGGTGAATCAGCGGTGACCTGCTCGTCATAGCAAGTCAGTGAGGCGGATGCATGTCACTCTCTCTGACGAGATGAGCCAAGGCAAGGGAGAGCAGGTCAGACTTGGCGCTAGCTCCCTTACTACTAGGTACGTAGTAGGTAGGTAGGTAGGTAGGGGCGCAAGGTGGAGCCAACATGAACGAGCTAGCGTGCGTCTGGTATTCGAAAGATGCGAGATGGCGCGCGGGATCCGTCCATTTCGTCCACGGGGCGGCGGGCAACACCCCCAGCTTAGCGTCGTGCGTCGAGGTAGGTATCTGGAGTCGAGTGGTGGTTGGTAGGTGCACTCTTCACCGTCAGAATCTCATCAGCAAGCGAAGACAGGGCGGGGCAGAGTTGGATTGCGTGAAGAGCAAGGGGCCAGGGAGTTGGATGTGGTGGTCCCCTTTGCTGGTGGAGTGTGTGTGTCAGCGTGTGCAAGAACCAGCCATGCCGTGCCCATGCAATACCTAGCCGTTGGCGATTGTCGATTAAATTCGATTGACAGGGGCCAGGGCCTCGGGCCAAGGCTGGTCCCTCGTCCCTCGTCGGCTCGTCCTCAGGCAGGTGGGTAGGTAGGTAGGTAAGTACCTAGGCAGGTACGACATCGGTGGGGCATGCTTTTCCGGGAGAGAGGAGCTTCCAGGTATTCATCGCGGATTTGGCAGCCAATAGGAGCGAGGCTGCATGTGCTGTACTGTACGTACCTAGATATATTCGTCCATCGTACCGTCTGAGGATGCGCCTTCCCGACTAGCGCCGTTTTCCGCTCGAAGCTTGAGTCCCTCGGCGCGGTACCCGATGGAAGGCGAGAAAGTGCCGGGTCCCGCCTACCTTCCACCTACTGTGTGCTGGCAGCGTTAGTACATCGTATATAGTACAATAGGTACGGAGTATCCGTATATACGGATATCTTATCTAGGTAGGTAATAACTAGTTGTTTCGAGCCGTACGTATCTGGGCATCTCCCGCCCAAAGTCGGGCACTTTCCCACTGACTACGCACTGTGTGGATCCCGCACGCAACGGCCGATGGATCTCCCATTTCCCGTGTTAGCCTGTTTCGTAGTTTACCTTGACCCGGTTCGGCCTGTTGATCGCGCTGGCCCTTCTCGTTTTTTTCCCCTGTGATTTGGATTGGATTGGACTGGATTGTGATTTGATTTTTGATTTGCAAGGCGTTTCTCAATTCCTCCTCGATGGTTTCCACCGGGATAGGAACCTCTCCCAAGCATACACAGGGGGTCCCTGCAAGCCCTGAACAACAGGCTCGTCCCCAGTCTAGCGGCTTCTTCTGGGGGGTTCCACCTGTTGACAACTTTGACACTCAGTCTACTCCCCAATCCGTGCCACCCCCAGAGACAAACTCTCTCTCAAAGCAACAGGTGGGTTCCCCACGCCAACAAAAATGAAAAAAAAAAAAAAAGTGACAAGGGAGGGAAAGGAAAAATTGGGTGGAGAAGACGCAATAAAATTTCGCTAAAAAAAAGAGTTGGGGCTGTCCAAGAGAAATGCGATGGACCCAATCCTCAAACCTCAGGCACGAGGCCGCGTTTGGATAAGTCATGTTCCTTTCGAGACATACGCCAAAGATATGAGGAATAACACAATAAAATAGATATAATTGGCGCCATAGCATAGCGTAGCAAAGTGATGAGGGAATTTCTGGAATTCACTGTGGTGGGAAATAGCAAAAAATAACAACAACAGCAACAACAACAATAAAAAGTTTAAACATCTCAATAAAACCCTAGGCGGGCAATGGGACTGCTCTGTCCTGCTCGACTTGGCGTTACACTTGAAATTGACGCATTTGCATTCGCATTCACATTCCTCGCCAGAACCATCTGCTCTGCTCTGCTCTGCTCTGCTCTGCTCTGCTTGGTTTTCTTGTCTCAGCATCAAGGGCTCGCAGACCACAGACCGCAGTCCGCAGTCCGCAGCCTGCAGCGCCTTGTCCGCCAAGATCTCCAACTGCCTTAGTTTGATCTTGCCAAGCAACTCTCTTATCCCATCTTCACACGCGCCCACACCCATACACACCCATACACACCCATACACACACACACCCTTCCCCGTCTTTCAGAGACAATCCTCCCTTTTTGGCTCAAGATCGGAACTCGACTCTGCCTCCTCGGTCTTGGCTCGCAATTTGTTTTCCTCTTTTTGCGTTTGCCCTATCGCTCGCTGCCTCAGACAGACAATCCCATACCCCCCACACTTTCCTTGTCCTGCCGCCGCCGCCGCCGTCTTGCAGAAACAGCCGCTGCACGCACACACGCAAAGACAGACCCTGAAAAACACCTTGCACCATACACACCAATCTTACCTTGTTCTGGTCTGCTTGTTTCCCTTGCTGCTATTGGAGAGTTGACCGACCCCCATTCCTCCCGAGTCACCCCCAGCCCTGCCAAATCAACGCCCACCTGATCAACGAAGCCGACGCGATTACGGATACTCTCTGCACCGCATTGAGGAGCGTCTCTAACACAAACGAATAACAGCCAGGACAGCTGTATGCGGAGACTCTTTACCAAACCATCAATTACCAATCGTCAATCAATTCGTCACTCAATCACTCGCCTCTTGCCTCTTGCCTGCCTCTTACGCCAGCCCCTGTCCGTCGTCCAGCCGACTTCCTGTCTTCCCGCTACCATTGCTCGCCGACTGAAGCACCGCATATTTCGGGCCCTCTGACAGTACGGAGAAGGAGAGAGTGAGAGTGAGAATCCACACTACCATCACACTCACCACTCACAAACCACACGCATTCACGCGCACACCCAGTACCACCACACACACGCCGTAACGAATGCACCCCTCCCCTGGCTGCACTCCTTCCCACTGCACCAGCGAAGCGGTAAAGCGAATTTGCCCTTGGAAAAACTGCCCGACTGACCTCTCCACTAGTCGCGGCCGCTACCCGTCGCCACTCACACTCACACTCACACTCCCTCACCCTCGCTCTCACACACACCCCCCCTTCTCCTCCTCCCACATTTTTGGTTGCCTTTGTTCCCAGGTTGTCACCTCGACCGACTTGTCAGGTCTGCCCCGCCCCAGCACATGGTCGAGTACATATCCATCTGCTGCCTTTGCTCCCTGCCCTTACTCGCCCCAGAAGGCAAAACGGAAGCCCGCCCAAGCCCTCGGCCTTCGAAAATCCTGAATTTTCATCCCACCTCCCTCCACCAAGAATAAACCAGAACCCGTTAAAGTTCCCTCGCCGTCCTAGCATCTATCCCAGCACCTTCCTTCGCCCGTTGTTCCTTCCCTTTTCTCTCCCTCCCTCTCTCCCATCCTTTTCGTCTGTTTTCGACCTTTGCCTGCGCCACGCTAAGTTCGACGTCATCTGCTCGTCCACCTCAATCAAATCCTTGCCTGTGTGTCCGCGCCCACGCCGTGAGCACTCACGCCCACAGCATACTTTCATCCAGGATCTGTACCTCGATTCAGTTATTCTCGTACCCCCAGGACCCTGGATCATCGCACTACCGCGCCTCACATTGAGGCACCGCCCGGCCATCCTATAACCACCCTGGCCTACCCTACCCTACCACCACCACAACCATCACCCATCATACCAACTACTTCATATAACTGCTCCCTCGACGATGTCAGTTCTGTCCTTATAGCCCTACGGTCCCTAGGGACACGATTTGATCTGTAGCAATTGTCTTTCGAGACGAGATCTTCAGCTGCACGTCCGCCCGAGGACACCCTTTTCTACATCCACCCATAACCAAACCAAACCAACCACACAACCGCAACAACACGCGCTTGCCACAGGCAGCTGTCCACTCATCACCGGGACTGCAACCATCTCCAACCTACTACTACTCGAGCCTTTGACCAAGTCGAGCTTGGAACGCTTGTGCCTGCTAGAAGCATCGTTGACCGATTAGGCCTGGAATTACCAACACCCCGCCACATACCCTCGAGTCGAGATCCTGATATAAACCCTGGCATCTTCTCTCCACCAACACCATCATCTCTTCACCATGACGCATCTCGCTACACATGACGCCGCGACGTCAAACGTCCTTGCCTGGTCGGCAAACTGCGCCAACACGCCCTTGATGGTAGAAGACGAGCCCGCCGATGTCGACGAGCCTCCGGATAATATGCAGCAGCCACCCCTCTCTCCCATGAACAGCATGTTCAAGCGGAACCCCATCCGCCGTACTACCGTCGACCACAATGCTTCCCTCCTTACCAAGGCTCTTCACAGCCCGTCCGAGGATGAGGACTCCGAGGCTCGCCCGGGCATGTCCTTCTTTGCTCGCCGCCGCTCCATGGCCAGCAACATCAGCTTGGCCTCCACCGCAGAACTCACCAGCGACACCGGCTTGACCAGCCCCTCTCGCGCCAACACGCCTAGCCCCCCTCTTCCCGAGATTCGTCTTCTCAACCTTGATGGCGCGCCTGCCAAGGATGCGCCTAAAAAGCGCTGCATCCAGTTTGCCTGTGCCGCGAAGCCCAAGGTCGCTGAGCCCATTCAGGCTCAGCCCATGGTGAAGGCACCCTCTGCCCAGGAGACTCGGCGGAAAACTTGCGTCAAGTTTGCCTGTCCTGTTCCTCAGCGTCCTGCCTCTACGCAGAACACGCCGCCCCAGAGGATGGAGATGGCTGCCGCCCGCCTTCAGCCCGCTGCCCTCGACAAGCAGGCCTCTCCGACGATGGCCCGTAGGGCTCGCTCTTCTGTCACTCGCTCGCAGTCTCCTGGGCCTTTCCTCGCTCCTCCTCACGCAGACAAGGACGCGAGGTCCCCCACCACCAAAAAGTATATCACCGCCAACGACAACGACTTGAACAACGAATCTTCTCGCTTCCATGAGTTCGCCAGTGACATCCCTCGTGAGGAGGACTGGATTCGCCAGGCCTTCTCCTCCCAGGGACGTCGCATCACCATCAACGACACTCTTCAGAAGGAGAACGCCATCCGCAAGTTGGCGACAGAGGCCGAGGAAGAGGCCGAGCAGGAGGAGGAAGATATGGCTCTTGAAGATGACGAGGACCTCGATAACATGGACGATGCCGATGATGTTGACGAAGACGAGGACCAGGATGACGAAGATGAGGATGACGATGAGGACGGCGCTTCTGACGAGGACGACAACTCTGACGGCTACAAGACTGACGAGGAAACCGGATTTGCCGACTCTGAAGAGGAGGAGGAAGAAGACGAGGATCTCCGCCTGTGGACGCCCGGTCGCTCCACTGTGCTGAACATTGACAGCACCCCCATTGCCAGGCGCCCCTCTCTGCCCGAGCAGCTCTCGGATTCCTCTATCGCCTCCAAGACCAGCCTACGCGCCCGCCGTGGCCGGACTCAGCGTCTCAAGATTCGACCTGGTACCCCTGAGCTCCCCGACAGCACCGACTTCGTCTGCGGCACACTCGACGAGGACCGTCCTATGGAGGACGCCTACATGTCCTGCTTGGCGGCTCGAAGACGCGAGAAGCTCCAGCTTATCCCTCAAGACATCGACCCCAGCTTCCCGGCGTCCGACCCCGAGGACGAGGGCGAAGAGGAGATCTACAACCCCGTCCACCACAGCAGTGACGACGAAATGTTCTTCCACGGAAAGATGGACGACTTGCACCATGCAAACGACAGAAGCCGCCGCCGCAAGAAGACGGAGCACACCTCTCCCAAGCGCTTCCACTCGCCTCCCCCCCTCAAGCGTCGCGCATCCCCTGCTCCTAAGGCTCGCGGCCGCTCTCCTCGTCGTCTCTTTGATGGTCCTTCACCCCATCGCCTGCGGTCTCCTGCGCCTCAGACGCTGAGATCCCCTCCCGCATCCCCCCGCAATGGCGACGGCGGTATCGCCTTCAAGACTCTGGCATCTCGCCCCGGTCTCACCGTCACCAAGTCTCTCCCTCGGCCCCCTTCCATGTTTCCTCACATGGCCAAGGGCCGCCGCATCAAGGCTCCGGCTAACGATGTGCACATTCGTGGTGCCATTGACATTGTCAAGGGCCTCGAGCAAAAGCGACAGCGTCGCAAGGAAAAGTTCTATCAAAAGTACTGCAACCGCGCTCGCAAGGGACAAGTCCCCGAGCGCAAGCCGCAGCGCGGCCTCGGCTGTGAGCGTATGAGAGAGTTGGGCTTGCTCATGGCCGGCAAGATCGGCCAGGGCAATTATGTCATCTCGGTTTGAGAGGACAATTTACATGCACACATCTGGGTGGAGGTTTTATTTGCATTTACAGCGAGAACAGAGTTGTTTCGCACGGCGTTCGGCATTGAAAGGTGCATGGCATGCATGGCAGAGTGGAGTGGATTCATGGCATGCTCTTTGACGGCCCATGGGACTGATATCTTTGTATTCATTTTTGCACCGGAGCATACCTCGATGGACGAGGAATCCGCATATCTTTCGCTTCGTTTCTTACTTCTGTCGTTTATTAGGAGTCCAGCGGCGTCTGAACGAGAGCACGAATACCCCTGGAATAGCGTGTATGAAGGCCTGCATGGTTGTTGAGCGAACACATAGCATTAGGAAGCCTGATCAACTGCATTCCTGCGAGATTTCGCAGACCTCCAACATACTGTTCCCTTGGCACTGTGACTACTTATTCTGATGCCCTATGAATTTAGTTTCGCCACAGAAGATGTGGTTGCTTCAGAGCGTCAATGGTTACCATGGGTCAGTTGGAGACAATGGTCTGGGTAATGGCTGAGTTAAGCAGCAGTACGGGATGGCAGTACTATCAAGTTGCATTTTGAGCAAACGCGACCATATATCAGCAGCTCGTTATATTCGCATACCAATGCTTTTTCTCAAGTGCATTACTATAAAAGTAGGTGTCTCCGGCAATGTCAAACATGAGAAGGCATTTTGATTCACCTGACACTGCTACCGGAGTTTTTTTGGTGAGCCCGGCTCAGGAAAGGACCAAAGTGACTTTCGCTCTGACGCACCCGTATGTACTTTCTCTCTCCTCTCTCTCTCTCTCTCTCCCTCTTCCATAGCGGTGCAACTTGTGGAGCATCCTTTGACGGCTGAGGCCTCAATATTAAGGCAGCAGTACCTCACCTCAGCATTTCGCAACAGCAGTATCCGTACCTAGCAGCAGCAGCGACAACAGCACCCCTGCGCCCCAGCCAAATCAGCACCAAAGCACACAAGCACGGTAGCCAGGCCTAGCCCAGTCCAAGCAGTCAGGACGCTTCCTCACCTTATTGCACACCTTGTCTCTTGGGAGCAAAAGTCCAGTCCACGAAACCCCCCCGTCCTCAACCTACCCACTTCACGTCCACCGCCCATCTCCGAACCATCCTCACGATAGAGACAATAATCTCGCCCCTTTGCCATCAAGATGTGGATTATTGATTGGTGTATGTATTCCAACTTTCTTATCCCTGCTTTGTCCTAGATCCTCTCCTTCGAGCTGTAGCAACCATTTGCGCGCCTCTGCTGGCCAAGCACTCATCCCTGGGTGGACATCGATGAACTAACTGGCATTCTTTCGATAGTCTACAACGTTCTCTCGAGCCTTGGTCTGCTCAACAAGCATGCCAAGCTCCTCTTCCTCGGTCTCGACAATGCCGGAAAGACGACTCTGCTGCACATGCTGAAGGTACGGTGCCGCCCGACAACCCAGATGCTATCTCCATCGATACCTACAACCCGCGGAACGTCGGATCTGCCGATACGTGATATTTTGGGATGAGGCTATGCTCTTGAGGAGTCTATGGCTGACAGATGCAATAGAATGACCGTGTCGCTATTCTCCAGCCCACTCTTCACCCCAGTGAGTATATCCCTCCTGATAAACGCATGGCGGCGACGAGCTCTGCGCATGTGTCCAGTAGCTGACCGCCTTGAAAGCTTCCGAGGAGCTTGCCATCGGCAATGTGCGCTTCACCACCTTCGACCTTGGTGGTCACCAGCAGGCCCGCCGCCTGTGGAAGGACTACTTCCCCGAAGTCAACGGTATTGTCTTCCTCGTCGACGCCAAGGACCACGAGCGATTCTCCGAGGCCAAGGCCGAGCTCGACGCTCTCCTGTCCATGGAAGAGCTGGCCAAGGTTCCTTTTGTCATTCTTGGCAACAAGATTGACCATCCTGATGCCATCTCTGAAGAGGAGCTGCGTCACCAGCTCGGCATGTACCAGACGACTGGCAAGGGCAAGGTGCCTCTGGAGGGAATTCGTCCGATCGAGGTCTTTATGTGCTCGGTTGTCTTGAGACAAGGTGCGTAGTTTCTCCCTTCTGCGTGGCACGGCGAGGAGGAAGCAGTGGCTAACTTGGGGAACAGGGTACGGTGACGGTATCCGGTGGCTCTCGCAGTACGTCTAAGCATAGACCAAGAGCTCTGGGTTGAGCTTCCTGGTGTTGCTTATGGCGGACGGAGTATACATGGTCAACTAGCAAACATTGTGAATGGGGACATGTCGGCACTGGAACCACATGATGGTACCACGTCTATGGAAAGCTCCGGTCAAAGGGCTCGAGGACGACGAGACTTGGACACTCGGAGTTGTTATCCCTGGGGTGACGGGGAAGCATGTGCGTAATGGAGTGGGTTTCTACTCTACTACTGGGGCTCTGCATTGGTTCACGGGAATGGAGAAAGCCCTCGGTTTGGCCCTGATGACGAGCCGGCCATTAGAGTCACCCAGTCATGCACCCAGCTGGCCCAAAGAAGAGGCGGCTTGTACGCTTGATAAGTTAGAATACTTCATTGGGTTCGGGGACTCGGAATCTGGTTATTTGCGTGTTTCAATCGTTAGCCTGCTCTGCGTAGTTAGTGTTGCATGAGTGCATCAACATCAACATCAACGACTTAAAACGTCCAGTATTCGTTGTCCATTATTGCGCAAGGTCCAGAGCCGTGATGCAACGTCCAGCCCGCCGAGCCTTGCAACAGCCTACGGCGTACCAAGGGATTTCTAGCGGGGTGGGTGGTGATGTAACCGAAGGCCACCGTGTCAAAGTCGCGAAGGTTTCGATGCGGGAAAACATGATGATACGCCAGGGTAGGTAGGTGGGTGGAGCGTGGCGCTTTAGCATTTCACAAGCCACACAAGTCCAAGACTCGCGCCAACAAGACGCCCCCCCCAGGAGTCAATTTCCCTCGCACCCCCAGGAAGAGTTCGTTTTTTTGGACTTTCTTGCTGACGTCTCGTCGATGAATCAACCGAACCGAACCCAAGCATGCCGCCACCACAAAACCAGGTAACCATGGAAAGACGACCCCCCTGCTCAGCCTCGTTGATCATCAGGAGTTCCCGCCACGCTCTGCCACGGGCAAAGACGGGGGGTGGAGTGGTTGTCCGGGGACGACAGGGTGGGGTTATGTGCACACGGTTGAATGAAATGTGGTGTGACGGAATGAATGACCATGTCTGTCTGTCATTCCACTGTGACGAGGATTATCTTCGCCCTTCTCTCTGCGTACCTAGTCTGCGCAGGTAGGTAAGATGCCAACCTATCTATCTAGGTAGGTACCTAGGTACCTATGGTAAGCGCAGAGTGTCTCTCGTCAGCATCCCTGTCTCCCTCCTCTGGCTGGTTGTCCGTTGAGGTACAACCGGAGCTTACAGGCGGATATTCAGGCACGACGTCCACTGAAGAAAACGCCGCCCCTACCAGCTTTCCTGTGGCGTGGAAGGTTCCCGTCCATCCCATGCTCTTCATCAGCTGGTGAAGCCAACATTGTCTTACTGTCAGCTGTCAGCTGCCTACGCAGGCTCCGTTTTCCTTCCCAAATCTCCCCCCAAAACTCCTCTCCACCGCCCCCCAACGAAATCCAATTCGAGCTAGCGACTGCCGACGTCATCCGACCCGTGGCATCACCGGCGCGCATTGCATTCATCCCCTAGGGAGGAGCGTCGGCCATCCTGAGGAAATCCTCTGGCCACAGTGACAGACCGGTCATCGAGTCTCGCTCCTCAACAAACAGCCCGAGACAACTAAGCATCTGCTAAGAAACTCGCCTGCTTATCCGCAGACAGGATAGTACCTTTGCTCTGTTGCTTGCATACTCAAGCCAATAATCACAGGACGCACACTTATATACACACAAATCCAATCTCCTACGCGTCATTGGCCTTCTCTTTCATTTGCTTCCCTCGGAGCGTTAGCAAACCATCGCTCTGTCTCTTCTCCCCGTGTCTCCCTGACGCACACCCCTCGACTGGCTTGCTGCAATATCATGCGCCTAGGCCTGACAGACGACACAGCCTGCAGACATGGCTGAGGACCAATCCAGAGTTTCGTTTGCCCCGAGCAGCGGCAGCAACACAGATATCTATGGCTTTCCACCCGAAACCTTCACCACCGAGGACCTGCCCGACTTCGACACAAAATTCCTTGACGACGCCGACCTCGCCGCCTTCGTACACGCCCTCCAGGCCCCCGATCCTCTGCAGACCCCCGACGACACGACATCTCTGCGATCCCCGGGCCTGAGGAGCACCAGCTCACTTGACGTTACTAAGCGAGGGTCCGTCTACGAATATAGAGATGACCCGCAGGCTGTTGCGGCGGCTGCTGCCGCAGCCGCCGGCGAAGTCACGGCGCCCGGTCCGGCGCTTGGCCGCTCCTCTGGCAACGGCGGCGCGTACAACGGCTCGACGACCCAGCACAACATGTTCATCACGGCGCAGAACGACTGGGCGCCCGTGAACCAGAAGATACTTAAAAGGGGATCCCGCAGGCGGAGGAACAGGGCCAAGGGCGCCGCCGAGACCCTCCTAGGCACGCGCACCAAAGATGAGACTCGCGAGGGCATCTTCTACGCCCTGCTCAAGTGGCCAATGCTCTTCTTCGTCGCCGCCTGGCTCTCGGGCTTGGCAATGACGTACCTCTACACGCGGCTGTATATCTGGGTCTACGAGCACTTTGTGACCTGGCGCGGCACGCGGGAAAGGCTCCGTCGGAGCATGCGCCGGACCAACAACTACCGGGACTGGGTTGTGGCGGCCAAGGAGCTGGATAGCTACCTCGACCGGCAGCGCTGGAAGGAGGAGAACGATTTCGCCTACTACGACTCCAAGACGGTCAAGCGGGTGTGGGAACAAATGCGCAAGTGCAGGCAGCGGGCCGAGGCGCAGGAGAACGGGGAAACCGACGACCAAGGCCAGAACAAGCCCCAGGGCAGACCCGCTGTCGAGGAGCTTCATGCCCTGCTGTCGGCTTGCGTGAAGAGCAACTTTGTCGGCGTCGAGAACCCTAGGCTGTACAGCCAGACGTATTATGGCACCAAGAACCTGGTACAGAACTTTGTCGACGAAGGTACGTTGACTCTAACTGCGGTGCATGGAAGCGGCTGACTAACGTTACTCTAGTTGAGAGGAGCATCAAGTTCGTCCTTAACACGAAGCAGCTGTCGATGGAAGAGAAGCGGTCCATCTTCAAGGGCATGCACACCAACTACGGACGGACAGCTCTTTGCCTTTCTGGCGGTGCGTCATTCGCTTACTACCACTTCGGTGTCGTCAAGGCTCTCCTCGAGGCTGATCTTCTGCCGGACGTTATCACCGGCACTAGTGGCGGCGCCTTGGTCGCTGCGCTGGTTGCGACCCGCACCAACGACGAGCTGAAGAAACTGCTCGTCCCCGCGCTCGCCCATCGCATCACGGCGTGCCGCGAGACATTCTGGACCTGGATCCCCCGCTGGTGGAAGACGGGCGCTCGCTTCGACTCGGTCGACTGGGCCAAGCAGTGCAGTTGGTGGACTCGGGGGTCAATGACCTTCCGAGAGGCCTATGAGCGGACAGGCCGTATCCTGAACGTCTCCTGCGTGCCCGCCGATCCGCATTCGCCCACTATTTTGTGCAACTACCTCACCAGCCCCGACTGCGTCATCTGGTCGGCCGTGCTCGCATCCGCCGCCGTGCCCGGCATCCTCAACCCCGTTGTGCTGATGATGAAGCAGCGCGACGGGACGCTGGTGCCCTACTCATTCGGCCACAAGTGGAAGGACGGTAGTCTGCGCACCGACATCCCGATCAAGGCACTCAACCTGCATTTCAACGTCAACTTTACCATTGTCAGCCAGGTCAACCCGCACATCAACCTCTTCTTCTTCTCATCCCGCGGGTCCGTCGGGCACCCGGTCACGCACCGCAAGGGTAAAGGCTGGCGTGGCGGCTATGTCATGTCAGCAGTTGAGCACTATCTCAAGCTCGACATGACCAAGTGGCTTAAGTTCATCCGGCACGCCGAGCTGCTGCCGCGACCACTGGGACAGGACTGGTCCCAGCTCTTCCTGCAGACGTTCAGCGGCACCATTACCATCTGGCCCAAGACGGTGCCGTCGGACTTTTATCACATTCTCTCGGACCCGGACCCGCCGCGGCTGGCGCGCATGATTCATGAGGGCCAACAGCGCGGGTACCCAATTCTGAAATTCGTGGGAAACCGCCTGAAGATTGAGAGGCTGATTGAGCAAGGGCGGCGGGCAACGAGGCCGTGGGCCCGGAGGGGCAGCATCGAGACGATCCTGAGCGAGGACGACCTCAGGAGCCTGCTCATCTCGGGCAACACGGACATTGAGGACGAGACGACGGACGCGGAGGGGGAGACGATGCTGGAGAATGAGGAGAACGAGGAGGCTATTGTTGACGAAGAGGAGGAATACAAAGACGAGGGAAGGGGGAGGCACGAAAACGGAGACAGGACAGAGTAGAGCCAAGGGAGTGTGTACCCGACAGGGTCTGGTGAGCAATGTGAAAGTGAATAGAGTATACAAAGAGCCCAGGGTTAGAGCGAGAGTCGGTACAGGTTGTATAGTATAACTTGGCGTTTCGTCTATTCACATGTGACGGGACGGAATACTACATCTTCGACTGCAGTCTCAAGAAACCGTGGCCCCGGGTCCAATGGGTGGAAATTGTGCGTTTCTTGCAACTTGCAGATGATGGTCACTGACGGGACGAATGAAGACTCAACCATCGAGATCTTTCTGTCGGGGCTGGGGGGAGCACTTCAAGGGGGGGGTGAGAATCAGATATCCGGAGAAAGACGACGGCACTCTGGTCACGGCTTCTACTGTTGGACAGATGCTTATCATTATAAGCGGTATCACGGACTTGTTGTCATGAGGGCATTCCGGGGGTTGAGTACGTGGCGATCGGCAAGATGGAAAGACTGGTCCGAGGGCTAACCTCCGGGTCGGCGGATACGAGCCATTCCAAGTGAAGGCTTTCCGATGCCATTGAACGAATGTGTGTCCAATGCCAGCCATATATGCAAGCCGGCCATTGCCTACTTGGCCGATTGGCACTAGCAAACGGCGACAGATACCCTGTAAGGTAACACAAAATTATCCCGCCTGTAGGGTCGGATACATGATAGTGGAACAGCCAACCTTACTTCACCTCAACAGGCACGGTACGTACACTACATTGGTAGGTAGGTAGGTAGGTATATATAGATAATGAGGCAAGCGGACACATGGAACGTCCAAGTTGGGGAAGGACAGATAATCCATTTGCCGCCGTGCCGGAGGCAGGCGAAGAAGAAGACGGCGGAAGAGCGCGACAGGGGTTGTAAGGTTGGGGCGGTGTCGGGACACATTGACTGGACTGGAACAGCCTGTACTGATGTCAGCAACAGCACTGAGGGAAGGAAGGAAGGTTCGTTAGTACCTAGGCGGCTAGGGTGGGTGGTACCTGAGACCCCTGCTCGCCCTTCCAGACACTGCTGGTGTATGTCTTTCTGTACACTGTACACGCACGTACCTCCATTTTATTTCGAGGCCACGATTGTCAAAAGAAAGTGGTGACTGAGCTCTTGCGGACACTTCACCTCCCACTCCAGTTCCTCCCCCTCCACCATCCCAAAGTTCTGATCTGGAAAACCAAACAAGCCAGCAGTCCGAGAGAGCAGAGAGACCACACCCCCCTCTCTTTAGCGGTCTCTTATTGTGTTGGTTCCATTCTTCCTTCCTTCTTTTATTCTTGCTTCTGTCCCCGCCCGCGGCAACTTGCTCTTTGAAGCCGTTTTCGTTTCACAGGCTCCAAAAAGCTAGCGAGCGACGTGTCCGGATTCGCGCGCGCGCGCACACCACCACACCATACTCGAGAAACCTCGACCTCGACTTCGACGCCAAGCGAAAATCACCTTTCCGCCCATTCGCACCGCCCCCCTCGGAGCTCTCGAGCTCATCGCCACGTCGCCAACATGAGTTCCGACTACTCGTACGACGCCGAGGCGCAATTCTACCCCTTCTTCATCCTTGCCATCACCAGCATCGTCACTCTGCCGCTTGGCTACACCCTCATCTTCCCCTCCAAGGACATCGAGGCCAAGGCTCCACGCATCCAGAGCGATTACAAGCCCGAGCATGTCGACCTCATTGACAAGCAGCGCAAGGCGTATCAGAAGAAGCAGCGCCGTATTGTGCGTGTCATCGCCGTTCTCTTAGGCCTCGGCGTCATGGCCGGCATGGTCTACCTCATCTTCCACGTCAAGAGCGTCACCCCAAAGCTCTGGAACCCCTACGACATTCTCGGCATTTCTGATGTACGTCTGAGCCCTTGCCCTCTGCCCGAGACCGTGACCGTAGTACTAATACACAGCCGCCCTAGTCCGCCGACGAGAAGACGATCAAAAAGGTCTACAGACAGCTGTCAAGGAGACTGCACCCTGACAAGGTCAAGCCCGACCCGGCCAAGAACGAGACTATCGAGTCGCTCAACAACGCCTACGTCGAGATCTCCAAGGCCTACCAGGCCCTCACCGACGAGGAAATCCGCAACAACTACATCCAGTTTGGCCACCCCGACGGAAAGCAGAGCTTCAGCATCGGCATCGCCCTCCCCCAGTTCATGATCTCCGATGGCAACGGCAAGTACGTCGTCCTCGCCTACACTCTGCTCCTTGGCGTTCTCCTGCCTTACCTGGTCGGCTCATGGTGGTACGGCACCCAACGCATGTCCAAGGACGGTGTGCTCATGGAGAGCGCCAACAACTTGTTCCGCGCCTACGAAGACGAAATTGACGAGGGCGGCGTCATCACTGCCCTGAGCAGCGGCAAGGAGTTCGATAGCGTCCTCAAGGGTGACAAGGCCGAGTCTGGCCTTTCCAAGCTCGAATCGAAGCTCCTCGCCAACGCCGACAAGGCCGGACTCTCCCAAAAGGACAGGCAGGCTCTCGAGGACCTCGACAGCGGCGTGCGCCGAAAGGCTCTGGCCCTCCTGTGGTCCTACCTCGGCCGTGTGGAGCTCGAGGACCAGGCGCTCAATAGCGCCAAGTACGAGGTCGCTCCCATCGCCCATGCCCTTACCCGCTCGTTCTCTGCCATCGCTCAAGCCTATGGCAACACCGGTCCTATTTTGGCGGCCTACTCTGCTAGCCAGCACCTGATCCAGGCCCTCCCCCCCAAGGCCTCGCCCCTCCTCCAGCTGCCTCACTTCACTCAGGATATCGTCCGCCAAGTCGAGGGAGGCGACTCCAAAGTTCACGTGTCCCTTCAACAGTTCATGGACTTGCCCGATGAGCTCCGCAGAAACCTGACGGTGCGCAACAAGCTACTGTCCGAGGACCAGTACAAGTCTGCCGTCAGTGTCGCCCGTCAATTGCCCCAGCTCCGCGTCGCCAAGGCCTTCTTCAAGGTTACCGGCGAACGCTTCATCATCCCCTCCTCCCTGGTCACCCTCGTTGTCAAGGGACGTATCATCCCCCCTGGCAGCGAAAACGTCCCCGAGATCAATGAGCTGGACCTGGAAGACATTGACCCCCCCGAAGATGACCTTGAGGCCTATCTCGGCCGCAAGAAGAAGACTATCAAGGGCCCTGACGGAAAGCCCATCCCTGTCGACGACAAACCCATCCTTCCCCCTCTGGCCCATGCCCCATACTTCGCTCGCGACCACGCTCCCAAGTGGCATGTTTTCCTGACCGACTCCAAGCAAGGCAAGATGGCTGTCCCCCCTTTCACCTTCACCCAGTTCGACCAGCCCATCTTCGGCGAGGACGGCAAGCCCACCTTCAACATGCAGACCCTCAAGGCCCAGTTCGCCGCCCCTCCTCAGGCTGGCCACTACACCTTTGTCATGCACGTCGTGTGCGACAGCTACGTTGGCTTCGACACCAAGATGGAGGTCACCCTCGTCGTCGAGGAGGCGAGCAAGGCAGCAGCGATGGTTGCCGAGGATGAAATCAGTGAGCCCGACGAAGGTACGTCGCCCCCCCCCCTCTTAACCACCGGGATATGGCAAGATGCTAACAACGACTACAGACTCGATAGCTGGCCAGATGCAGGCTCTCAAGGGCGGCAGCGTACCGGGTGCTACCAAGCCCCGTAGGAAAGTGGAGGAGGACTCGGACGAAGAGAGCGGCACGGACGACGACGTCGAGGACGACACGAGCGAGACAAACACCGACACCGAGGACGAGTCATGAGGGAACCACTTGTCCCGCGGTGGCCCCTATTTGCAGGAGATGTGTAGGAAGCGATGCAGGAAAAAAATGGTAGTTGCACCGAACAGAAGCTTGTGCAGAGACCCAAATATACCCCAGTCATAAACATCCAACCCACCAACCACGTACACACAAACATGCACCAACCGAGGGGGCTACTGGACCAAACAAGCGCCTGACTTTGGGTTCTTGTTATTGAGTGGGGGCGGATAAAGTCCACGTACATAAGCTATCGGCGTTGATCAGGTTCGTTGGTTGTGTGTGGGAAAGGGGAGGAGGAGCGGCGGCGGCGGCGGCGTCCCTCAGTTACTACATATTGGTTATTAGTTTTGACGTTCTCTGGACGGGGTTTTAATTGAATGCATTCCCAGCGCATGGTCCGCTGTTCCTCGCCCCTCTCTTTCTACCCGTCTCTCTCTCTCTCTCGTGTGGCCAGTCACTGGAGACTTCTTTGGTAGACGAGGGTGGTGGATTTGCTTCAAAATCGGTTCAATATATTTGCCCACGACGCAGCCGGGCATGCTTGAATGATGACCCATGTATAACGAGCCAGCCAGCCAGCACGATCCGATGACATGGTTATCAAAAGAACCAGAAGGAAAAGAACTAACTAAACGCCCGTCGCCCCTATACCATAGCCGTTGCAAATGCGACACCAACTCTGTGCACATACATACATGTATGTACATGCTCGGCTCCGACCTCCTCCAAGCAATCCGGGTATTGGGTAGTAAAAGTATCAAGCCCGCCGCCGACTCCTGTCCTGCGTTCTTCCAAACTCCATCCCATTGTCCACCGCCCCGCCTCTTGGGCCCCTGAGGTATGTCCGTCTACTCTTTCATTGCTTGAAGAGCGTGCGTGAGGGGCATGACGCGCAGACTTCTGCCGCGCTTCAGGCCGGGCGTCTTCTTTGGCATGATGGTCGGGCTCGCCTCGACACGCCACTTCCGGAACACGCTCTTGAGGTCTTTCGGGATGCCCTCCAGCACCACTGTTGAAACGGGGATGAAGGGACGGTCTTCCATGCCACTGGCCAGGATGGCATATTCTTGCGCGAATTCGAGGGCGTTGCGGAAGGAGCCGTACTGACTCTGCGCCATTTTGCCGACGATGATGTACATTTCAAAGAATGCATCCAGCACATAGATGCCCGAGGGGTCCAGGTCGGCTTGAGTGAAAGGGCTGATCTCGTAGACCTGGCCGTATTTGTTAGTCTACAATCAACAACCCGTAGTGAAGAGACTTCTTACCTGTTGAGCTGCAGATGCGTCCGAGCGGAACAGTCTCTGGCAGTACTTGTCGTAGTTGGGCTTCAGGCGCCAGTGGTCCGCGGAATGCGGCTTCGTGCCATCATTGAAGATGGCCCAAAAGGTGTCCGGCTCGCTGCCGTCGTCGATTTCAAGGAGCTCGCCCATCAAGCTCAAGTCCATACCTATGAGACGGGCGCAGCTCAGCTCGTCTACATCACTACCCCTGCCCTTCCAGAGATAGCACTTTCCTGATTGCGTAATTAGGAATGGGAATCCAGAACAGAGACTCGTGGACGAAAAGTCAACCTCGTCGAACACGACCTGGCCGAGCATGCGGCGACCGCAGAGCATGCTGGGTGCCAACGAGTCATACTTGGCATTGGTGCCACGGCGGATGATGATCATGCCGCCAAGAGCCATGATGAACTCTGGCGTCTCTCTGCCCTGACGCATCTTGATGAGTTTCCCGCCGAGCGAGCGAGCCTCACGGCTGACGAACAGAGCAGCGTCTTCGACGGTGGCGTCCGATACCTCGTCACCGATCCAGAAGCATACCTCCGTCTCCCTTTTGCCGACCTCATTGGTGAATACATTGGCGCAAATGTACATCTCCCCTTCGAACAGGATGCGCTCATTGTGTGCTGACACGGGAATTTTCTTGCCGTCACCAGTAATCTGAAACAGTCTGGCGCCCTGGCTTTGAATCTCGCGAACACAGGGCTTATTCATCAACACTTGGGCAGTATCGAGACGGTATTCTCTCTGCGGACGCTGTGTGCCAAAGAAGTCATCTAGCAAGGTCGAGACGTCGGAACTTGACTTGGACGGGGATCGGACGGGCGATACGGAGGTTGTTGGCGATGTTGGCTTAGGTGGGTTTGGCAGAGGCCTTGCGGAGCTCCCCAAGGGAGTGCTGGTCCTTGGGACCGGAGATGCAGGAGTGTCGAATCGCGACCTTGTCTCGAGAGGCGGTGATTGGACAACCGAGCCGCCAAACATCGCCGCGGCATCCCTGACCGAGACGACCGGTTCGCTGTCGACTCTGTCATTCGACTTCTGAGGTGAGCTGGGTCTCGACAGTGGCCGGCCAAAGGTCCTCAGAGGTGCCACGTGGGGGCTATCCATTTGATCATTAGGGGCCGGTGATCGAACGGGAGACCGCATGGGAGATCTCGGGGTGGGGTCTGGCAAGGGTCGTCCAAATGTCCGGGCAGGGGATAAAGGCTCTTCCACCTTGTCAGAAAACGACTTCTTTGCAGGACTCGGTGTTGGCTCAGGCAAGGGCCGTCCGAAAGTCTTGACAGGAGAAACCTCCTCGGTCTTCTGAGGCGGGGGGCTGAAAGCCTTCTCAAAGACTGGCTTGGGCTTGATGCTGGGCGTTGTGGCCGGGCTCTCCCTTGTCGGCTCCTCCCTCTTTGGACTTTCCATCTTGGGTTCCTCTCTCCTTGGGCTCTCGACCTTTGTGCTCTCTCTCCCAGGACTCTCGGGCCTCGCGGTCTCCTGGTTCTTTTCTTGAAAGAACATGGACACTCTCTTCATGTCCAGCTTCTTGGGCGAAGTGGGCTGAGCTGTTGGCTCGATAGGCTTCTCCTCGAATTGTTTTATCGGGGAAGACTGGAGCTTCATCGTCGGAGACCGAGACCTGCGCTTTGAAACTGGCTCCTCTTCCGTGGCGGGAAGGATAGGTTTCTCGGGAGACGCTTCAACAGCCTTTTCAACAGGAGCCTCGGCGGACTTTCCAAAGGGCTTGAAAGGCGCTGGCCTGTTCTTGGCAGCTGCTTGAGCAGCTACTTGGGCCTGGATAGACACCGGAGCCTCCTTTTCGAGGCTCTTCTTGGGCTCCTCAGTGGCACGAGACGGCTCTTCCTTCGCAGGTGAGGTCCCGGCTGAGCTTGGCTTCGGCTCATTCGCCGACTCTGTGGCGGGAGGACCGGCAGACAGACCCTTGGAGGACGGAGCCTTTCTCTTCGGGCCGCGAGCACGGCCCTTAGTCATGTGCGTAAGCTGAGGTCCCGGAGTTGTAGGCTCGGTTGCGCCGCTGGATTCGCCAGCCTTCTCTGTGTCGCGTCCTCCATTGGCAGCCATGAGTGGAGGCCCACGAGCCAAAAGTCCCGCGAGTGCAGGATTGAAGCGACCCGCCAAGCCACCGGCAGCGGCACGTCCCTGGAGGCGGGCAGGAGGGGCGCTGTTCTCTTTCTGGAGAGTTGGCGTCGTGGACCTGAGCTCTGTCGGAGAATGGACGCCGGGCGAGCTGTCTGTAGGGGGCTTGACCAGAGGGGAACGGGGCAAATGCATGGGCTCGCTCGACTCATCCTGAGATACAGACTTTGATCGTTCACTGACAGATTTGCGGTGTTCAATGGCTGAAGGCAATGTCGCAGCTGACCTGCCCGAGACTGATTTGCTCAGCGCGTGTCTCTTCAACAAAGCTTCAGGCAGTGGGCTCTCGGATGCATTAGACTTTGTTCGAGCAACGCTTCTGCCTTGGGACTGAGCAGCTTTGAAGTCCTCCTTTTTCTTCAGGATCGCCTCCTTGAACTCGTCTTTGCGCTCGCTCGGCTTCGGTCCGCCTGTGATATTCAAGGCTGCTTTGCCGCGCGAGATGTTTGATTTTAGCTCGTCCGGCGCAACATAGTTTTGTGTTTTCGTCCGGCGGAGGTTACCAAAGACACTCTGTAGCTCATTGACCGGATCACTAGGAGACGCACCGTCTCCCGAAACGTTTCGAGACTTTAGACCACCTCGGAAGTCCTTCTTTGGAGGGGTCTCGGGCTTGACTTTGGCCACGGCAGGGCTATCTGTGATTGGGGATCGCTTCGGGATTTCCACGGGAGCAGTAGTCTCTTCCGGCTTGTTTTCGCTCGTTGGGCTTTTAATCGTGCTGCTGCGGAAACCCGGGCTGCTGACGCTGCCGCCCGTCTTGTGAGTGTTCACAGGAGTGTAGATTCCCTTGAGTCCGCTAACGGATGATTTTGCCTCGTGGCTGCCCATCGGAGTCGACCGCATTAACCCGCCAATGTTGACTTCATGTTTGTTCGACGCTACAGAGCCGCTTCGACCAAGGTCGACACTGGAATTGGCAGCCTTCTGCGCTTTGGCTTTGTTGAGCTCGACCATCCAGGCTGGCTGGTTGGGCGTGGATGGCGGCTTGGGTTTCGGTGCTTCGGGCTTGTTCAGTGCCGTTTCTAGCCAGCTTGCCTTCGTTGGACTCCATCTTCTAGCGTCCACAGTCTTTGAAGGGCTGGATGGCGGCGTCAACTTCTCCTGCTCTTCTTCTTTGGCGTCTGGCTTAGCCTCTGACGGTGGTGCTGCGGCGGGGGCCTTGGGCGTGGTCTCGGTCTCGTCCTGGTGCTCCTGATTGCTGTGGCGTGAGGTGGGACGAGACGAAGGTCGGGAGGCGGGGCGAGAACGGGAACGGGAGTGGGATGAACCGCTAGTCGTAACAGTACTGTCGCGAACGAACATGCTCTGAGGGCGCGATCTAGGCTCGCCGACTCGGCTCGAGGCAGCCGAATCCGCGCGCACAAGTCCGGGAGGCGATGTTACGCTCCACCTCTTGACACTATCTGACCTCTTCATCATGGCACTCTGGACAAAGCCGCCCATGCCCTTGGTAGGCGAGACGGGCCTCGTGGGTGATGCGCGACCCGACCCCGACGACATGACTGGCATACGTTGCTGCGCGGTGGCGTCATTCTCGGGAGAAATCTCAGCCGGAGGGTCCAGCCTCTGGGCGCTGGATAGGGAGAGGGGAGAGCCAAGCCTGTTTTCCTTGGTAGGACTCGAGTGTTCGGGGGACAAGTCGGTGGAAGAGCTGCGGCTCAGGCCTGGGAGCTGATGGGCACGCATGGACGACATGTCGGTGGTATCGGTATCCTCCACCTGCGTCTTGCGGTTGGCAGCCGATGCAGCGCTTGCACGGTCGGCCGTCTGACGAAACCAAGCAGGGTCTTTGGAACCCAATGCCTGAGAGATCTGCTCCCTAGAAAAGGTTTGCTCGGTAGCGGAGGAGGGGTCCGACGTGGGGTTCGGCGAGGTTCTGGCCGCATTCTCTGCGGCGACAACGGACAAGGGACGACTTTTGGATCGATCCGAGTGCTGAGAGTTGGGACGTCTCTGCCACGACAGCGGTCGGGCTCCTGGTACACCGCCGGTAGGAGAGGTCACGCTCGAACGCTTATTATCGGCGTCAAAGGGGGAATCGTTTTCCTTGGTAGGAGAGGTCGAGACTCTTTCCATGGTATCGGGAGCCGGGCTGCCACGGGAGCGAGGGCGAGGGCTGCCGGTGAGTTCGAGGCCAGGAGAGGACAGCCTCAGATCATCGGAAAGCTGTGTAGTGTTGCCTCGAGACGGCGGTGGTGTGTTGGCCGGGGATGACTTTTGAGGGGAAATGGATCGAGCGCGTTCTGTCGACAGTTGTTAGAAGGGATGATCCGAAAATAGAATAAAATCTTATCAAAAGAAGCTGCGGCTGAGCACAAGACGACGTGCGCAAGGAGATGGAAAAGAAGGCCAACGGCCAAGGCAGAACAGAAGATTGCGAATTGATAGTTCCCTGACGGCGCAAGGTAGGAAAACAATGGGAGGCCGTGGGTGGTTTGTGGTTACTGGGAGAGGACGTCAAGGCGTGGAGGCGTCGCTCGCGTCTTGCCCAGTGCGGAGGCCGTCCCGTCAGTAGCTCAGGTCTCTGGTCGAGGGCAAACTGAATCTGGACATAGCACGGCACCAGCACGAGCGCAAGCAGGCGGAATGGCACGACAAGACGCGGATTAGGATTTTTTTCCTTGGCCACACTAGGAAAAGAAAGCACATGAAGAGGGCAGAGGGGGGCAGAGAAAAAGAGCAGAGACAAATAGATGCAGGGCGAGGTATGGAGCTGAGCAGTGAGGGAGGGGGAGGGGAAGGGGGATACGAGAAAGACAAAGACGTACCAGCGCGACGGGCCTGGCGTTCCCTCTTCTCCTGCTGAATCTTTTCGTCGAGTTCGCGTTGGCGGGCGTCGTCCTCCTCGGTGCGGCGAGCATTCATCTCCTTGACATCTTGTAAAAACTTGGAGACGTCGTCCATGGCTTGTTCCGACATGTTGAGACGGGAAGCAGAGTCATGACACGATTGCGGAGTGGGGGAGGAACGGAAATAGGCTTCTGTATGCGCAGGATTCCCCCCGGTTGAAGCGTATTTCGCGGCAGAGTGGACAAGTAAGAAAGTGAGGTCTTTGTTGGAAAAGGATATGTGGTCTACTGTTTTCTCTCCCTCTCTCTCTCTTGCGTCCGCCCACGTTGGGGACTTGGGTCTGCAGCGTTGGCGGTGGGAGGGGGGACGGGCCGGGATGAATTGGGACGGGTCGAGTGAGGTGTACTTCGTACCTTGCGTTCGTCACCTTTTGGATTGGATGAATGCCGCTAAGAGCCTAGCGGGGTGGGTAGAGGCAGCAGCTCAGGCAAGGAACCCAAGGTGAGGTAAGGCAGCCCGCCCGAGCAGGGTGCAAGGAATCCAAGACCTGGACTAGTATTGCTGACGGGGTCTGAATTCTCAGTCTCCCTTACTTTAGAGACAGCTTGTAAGGAAAAGAGAGAAGGACGAATTGGGGGGAGTTCCAAGTGTCCGAGACGAGGTGATAATTCTTGGGTAGCAGCAGTGAATATCCGTACCATAGCCGGTGGGTCAGATGATTCTTTTTTTGTTTCGTTCGGGGGATTGTTTTGTTTGGAAGAAATCCGGTTGCGAGGTCAAAGTACCCAGGTAAACAGAGATAAGCTACACATAAAGAACCCACAAGAGGTACCTTTTTTACTCGGCTGACGTCTTCCCTAGGAGGCCGAAGGAAGCAGGTTTTTTTGTCTTTCTTTGTTTTTATCGTTTTCCTTTTTTCTGTAGGGGGCGCAGCCGCGGCAACGAAAGCCAGGGCGGAAGCCAATGGCTTCCCACCAGATGTTGCTGTTGCCGCTATGCTGCTGTTAATTGTTGTTGTTGTGTTCGTACATACGATGTACATGCCTACCTAGTAATGTACCACTGCGGTCGTGCTGCTGTTGCTATCAACACACAGGCCAATTGGGCAGACTGCATGTCAGGCTGCATGTCAGGACCATCAAACTTAGCGCACCATCCAATAAAATCGCAGAGTGCATTTGGAACAGATGCGATGTCAACAATTTTTGTCGGGGGCTCTCACTGGGTTTGTTCTTCAACGACGCCTGGGTCTTCCGATGATGCGGCTCTCGAGTCCGGAATTTGGCCTCTTATGCCTCGAGCTGTCTTGCACTGCTGGAGGTAGGTTTAGCCCAGCTCAGTGCAGTTGCTCGTCTCAGCCCAGCCCACCTATCCACGATGGTGTCACAATGGAAATGGGAACGAAAACAACCGAGGTACGTACCCCGTTCCGAAATGTACTTGCAACCCCCCTACCTGTCTCACATTGCGGATGGATTTCGTACTTGCAGTCACACGCACTATGACCTGTTCGCCATTCAAGCGTCATCTCAATGGTCCATCTGCGCCGTTTCAATCGCATCGTTTCAAACCACCATTCCCCAAGGCATGATTCGCGCACTCGGCTTCGAAGACTTTGGATGGCACCAGTTTCTCCACGACGCAGGCGCACCACAGGCAGCGTGATGTGGCGTGGACTAGTCCCCCCCTTCTGGGGCATTGTCCGTCCAGCGGGGACCTGGCTTTAAGCTACAAGACGCAGTGGTCCACATCACCGCATACTCAGCCTCATAGATGCAGTATACTGGTATATTGCGATGCGAGCACTGGGATGGCAAGAGACCTCCGATTCCTCTCACCTGCTGTCATCATCTTTGGCATACTCAGCTATCCCATCTATTCGTCGCCCGTTGCACAACGTGGACCTTTGGACCCGGTCCTTTCCTTGGATCGTCTCTCCAGGACATACATCTTGCAATCCTCATCGTTGGTTCCTTTCCAAACACGGCGACCGTCATTCCCGGGTTCAACTCCTCTGGGCATCCCAGTTTCTCACGGCACGCGCGGGGCCTGACGAGACGAGTGGCTGGGACCTCCCTCAATTGCTGACCGAGGGCGAACGTGGTCTTCTGGCGCAAATCGGCTAGCGCCGCTGTCATCAAAGCCTGAGCCCCGAGCTCTTAGTACAGAAAGAGCCTCTTTTTCGCGTCGTCCACCACCCAAGCCAGGCCTTCCTTGAGGTTTATGCCCGTCATGGCACTGCAACGCAGAATATGCCAGTGATGCGTTCGGATTGCCTCCAGCTGCAGTCCCTGTATAATGGAGACGTCAGTTAGATGCCCAGCACCTTGTCGAGGGCATGTCTGGATTCAAACCTGGAGGATCTCCCGTTCGTTCATGCATCCGTTGACGTCGGTCTTGTTGGCAAAGACAAGAAGACTCGCGCCGGATAGCCTCTGTAAATCAGGGTTAGCACCGACAGACCGCACCCCTTTCATGCGTGCCCTCGGGTGGGCGAACCTCTTCTTGTAGGAGGCCATGCAGCTCCTCCCTGCAGTCTTCAATTCGCAACCGGTCCGTCGCGTCAACAACCCAAATCAACGCATCTGTCTTCTCAAAGTAATTGCGCCAGTATGAGCGTAGTGTCTTCTGGCCTCCGACATCCCCTGTTCTGGTCAGACAGCTGGCTTCATAACGTCATGTGTGCAAGGCATACAGATGTTCAGCTTGTATCTGGGATGTCATTAGTGCCCGCACTTGACAACTGGAAAGGGCGATCAGATACCCGTCATAGTCGATGGTTTTGATTATGAAACCCAAAGTTGGGCTTACGGAGTTGACATCTTCGCCCATAATCTTCTTGACTATCGTAGTCTTCCCAGCGTTGTCCAGGCCTCTACCCTACAACATCAGTAAAACATTGGGCCACAGGCAAACGGGCAGCAACTAACAGCATGAGGATACGCATCTCTTTGTCCTTAAGACGTGCCTTTCTGAGGATAGACAACATCTTGGTAGTACTCGAAAGACTGTTCGAGAGAGTGTATCTCAACTACAGCTTCAACGTTGGGAAGCCTGGTTTCTCGGGTTAGTCATGGTGCTGTACTGGACCTAGTGCAATGCACAGGTGCTGCTGCTCCAGCGACGCTACCTGATGGATGAGCAATGAGGGGGCACGTGACGCTGACCCCCCACCGCATTAGTGTTCGGCCTCGGGTGCCCCGCCAGCCATCTCACCGACCTCACCGAACCCACTCACCAGGGCCATAGTATCAGTCAAGGTTCTGATGATTTACTAACTTTTCATATGAGTCTGAAGCAAATTTGACTTAACCAATATGAAGGGGCTGTTTGAATATTGACGCAGATATGATGGTTATTTACGGCCATGAACAACAATGTGGACAATGACATGTTGAACAGTTGCATAATAGTTAGTAGGATTCATCCATGACGGGAACTGTTGTGTACTATACAAACAGTTATTGGTGACAAGAGAATCCCACAAGATCAATGGCATGGCTGACACGGTTTTTTCCTGTTTCTTTGGCGGAACCAACAACCACTGGGCAAGCACGGTCGACCGGAAAAGCTTAGGGAGAAGGGAACGAACAAACAGGGAAACAGCCTACCTCCTCCGGATCCTCACTCCTTCCTTTTCTGACTGAGCAGTCTTAGGGTACGTATTTGATTCTACTCCATTGAGTATTCGTCGATTTCTTCATCCTTCACCCTCATCACACTCATCCTTGTCCATACGCGCCATGGCCTGACTGTCGTGGCCAGTCTTCATCCACAAGAGAAAAGATATCAACTATTCGTACAGCGATATAGTTGCAGATGATATCCATGTCAGTCATTCCGAATTGAGCACCTTCTCAATGTTTGCTGCGATCCACGGTGCTCCTTCTAGCACGCAAAGCTAACACTTATTTGAGGCTCAGGAACAGCGCAAACTTGTGATCTCCGTTTCTATTCTTCCACACACCACAGAGAGCCAGTAAACAACTCAATTGATGAGAGTTACTGACCGAAAACCTTCTCCTAAATCCTTGAACGGAACCGCCTCCAGCTCCGAGGATCGAAGACCCGCTTTCTAAAAAGAAAATAGCGATATACAGGACGACCCCAACGTGGGAGTTCCGGAACACGCCAACTGCTTTGCTGGGCAGCTAGCAAGTGTTCTCAAGAAAAACTTCGATACAAAACAACAAAAAAGGAGCCATGACTTCTCATACTTACTTCCAACAAACTCGGGCAGTGGAGTATATACCACCCCACAAGCGCAGCCTTGACTCCAAGCTCAGGGTCGAGGTTCCACGCACCCTTCCCGATAACACCGAGGAACTGGCTCCTTTGACCCTAATGGCTCTCAAGGAACTTCCCAAAAGACAGGGCGTGGCTTATAAATCCAAGAAAAGCCACCCATCCATGAACGTCAGCGTGCATGATGAGGCTACGTCTAGCCATGGGGATGGCTCCAGCCGTTTTAGCAATTCCTTTGACAAGACGGTAGATTCCGTCTCTATGGAACCAATATCCGGCTTCTTCCATAACTGGATTGATACACTGTCTTCAGATTGCGTCACCTCCTTCCTTGACGAAGTTGAAAACCACCACAACCATGACGTTGACACTACGAATGGACAGCTTTTGGAGAAGATCGAGCAACCAGACACCATCGTTAACATTGAGGAGGAAGCACTCATGAAGCCGGCAATGTTGCATCGTCGTCGTGACTGGACGAGCAATCTTGTCATCCATCGCGAGATTGCCATTCGCAAGGGCCTGATGCGTCGACAGCAAGAAGAGAAGAAGCGTGAGCGTTGCAGCCTGCCTGCGCAGGATACGCAGGGATGGGAGCCAAAAGAAAACAGGCACTATATCAATATTCGTAGAGAATCCATCTCAAATGACAAGAAGCTGCTTGTCGATTGCGTCTTGCGACCGGTTCGGCTCGAAGATGCGATTGGATGCGCCGAGGCCTACAACGCGGCCGTGGCCGACCATGACCACCAGGCGGTCGACACCAGCCCAGTCTCAGCTGAGAGGTTTGAGTTCATCATACGAGAATGCATGTACGAAAAGCTGCCCTTCGTCGTTGCAACTAAGCAGAAAGTTGATCTGTCGGATGCCAAGAATTGGCCGTCTCTAGACGCTTATCGGCAGTACATGAGATGGAGGCAGTCGCAGCCGGAAGAGGACAAGCCTACTGAGCACAACATCTGTGGCTTTGCTTTCCTTAGGCCATACGAACGAGGGATTTGTGGACTCAGTGGCACTGCGTGCCTCGCAGTCAAGGCAACCGTCTTCGTTCGCCCGGATCGCCGACGCGGCGGGATCGGCAGCGCACTTATTCGCCAGATCCTCACGCAGACCTCGATCCTATACTATGGAAACGGTGCCAAGTACAAGTGGGAAGACCCTAATCACGGTGATGACTCCTTTCGCACGTCGGGCTTTCGCAATGTACACCGTAAGTCTCGCATTATCTTGGGCAGCATCATCCTGGACTCCGCAGCTGACACCGAATGACAGGCATCATCTTTCACACCATGGACAAGAGAGAGAGCAACCAGAGCCTCAAATGGATGGATAACTTCATGGCATCACTTCAATTCGAAAAGTCCGGCCGTATAAGCCAAGTCTACCGGGTTGACACCCCACATGGCGTTGAGTGGTACGATCAAATCATTTGGCAACACTGGGCAAACAAAATCGATAGTGTCCGCACCCTGTACATGAGTGACGAGTCGGAGTGTTCCTACGATTATCCAGGAAAACCACACGCTCCTGACTACCAGCAAGTCCAGCTTCCTCCCGTCGTGGGAGAAGAGCTCGGCTACGGTTCAGACCGCGACAGCGATGATGTCTTTGGTCACTAAGCCTTTCACTTTCGCAACCAAGACCACCAATTCAGCTGCGCCGACACACCCATCGGGTTTCTTGGGAGTCCACTCCAATGTTGCTATAAGTAAGGCCGCTTACCCGGACTGCTACGATGTTTTCAAGGTAAGCCCCTATCAGAAAATCAGCTCAGAAGCTATATCCGGAGCTAACAGTTTCACAGTATAGTAAAATCCCCGGAAGCCGATAGCCTACCATGATTGAAACGAACCAAGTCCTTTTCTACCCGCGTCATCCTTCAATGCAGGATCCCTATTGATCATCTTCCTTGGGGACACTGTTGGACGTTGACGCCGGATCGTGGATGCGAAGCCTCCCCCCGCCTCTACGGACCATCTCAGAATGGTGAAACCTCTAAACGTTGCTCCTCTCTAACCCTTGCCACCTCCCCAACCCCTGATTGAATGTCAGGGTACCCAGCTCCTTCCGCACTCACACAAGGCTGGGAACGATGGTCTTTCCCAAAAAGTTTCGGTGGATATGTCGAATTTGACAAAAAAGTTGACTGGATCGAGCAAGTTAGTTGGTCGGATTTTCTGGTCACGGGTCTGGGACGGAATCCCGGGAAACCAAGTGCGGTTACTGATGCCTGTCTTTGTAATTGAAGAGTAGAATAGTTCACTATCCGAATTCACATACCAAGGGAACCCGTGGAGTCGACAGGTGACATGGGCTGAGATTGACTGTACCTCCCAACTACGAAAAAGGAACAGACACATGGACCTACCGTCGTCTACTTACATTTCATTTCTCCCACCCCGCAACGCCAAGTGAATGAAAAAAGAAGAAAGAAAGAAAGAAAAAGAAACGACTACGTGTACCGAAACCCTGATCATTTACCTGGGCAATCCGACGCTGCTGATGGAATCTTGTGGCCACACCGTCGAGACGTCGCTGGGCGCAACAAGGCCCCTCGCCTGCGACCAGCGGCGAACCTCCTCCAGGGTCAGGGCCGGGGGCGATCCGGGAATTTCGGGCGATCCAGGCTGCGGACGAGAGGTCAGAGGATGGATGTGTTGAGGAGGAGAAGGAAAAGGAGGAGGGCTGGGTCTCCGCCCATAGAACTGCCGACGTCCCGAGGGCGGAAGGGGCTTGGGCTTCCGCTTATTTTCGTAGTACTCCGTGAAAGTCGGCCGCTCGACGACCTCATCCTGCTCCCCCCACCTCAATGCCTCCTCCTGAGTCGCAGGCCGGTGCGGGTGGCCGGGTGGGACTGGGCAGGCACGGTAAGGAAGTCCTGCTGGCGGTTGGTCCTGTATCAGGGGCCCGTCATCCTGAGGTCGGGCGTAGGGGTTACTTACAGACGCGCCTGGGCGCGAGCGGTGCGAGGGATCATGCCTGGCCAAGTCTGACGGTGCAGATGGAGGACGGGCGGCAGCGAGAGACACGTCGATTCGCGGAGGGTGGGGTCGGGCTGGTCCGGTGTCTGTGTAGAAGCTGCTCGGTGCTGCTACGTTTCCGTACCCAGTGTACGGTCCGGGGGCGAGGAGGACCTCGGAACGCAAGGTGACAGGTTGAGCCGGTTCGTTGTTCGAAAAGAGACTGCTGGTGGCTATATTACGGAAGCGATTGCTAGCTCGGGACTCGTCTTGTAGCATTTCCGTAGGCAGGGAATTGGAGGGCGGCTCCTGTGCCGGCCCAGTCGAGAACGACGGCATCGCAACCTGCGGGTTTGTCAGTGTCTGCATGGCGCCATTCGAATCCGCTCCTTCCCAGATTGCCTCTCGATTGGAGGGGTCAAACTCTACTCCTGTTGCAAACGCTTGAGGTTGGAAGGCGCAGGGTTGGACATTGGGGCTGTCAAAAGCAGGATGCATCGAGGCGCGGTCAAAAGCATATGCAATCTCATTTTCCCTAGCCATGCGTTCGTAAAATCCACTTACATCGTCTTGCCACGGCTGGTGGCCGCCATCGGCATCGGCAGACGGATCATCCTCCCTAGAAGCGTAGCTCAGTTGGCTCGATGTGCATGGCCTCTCAGTGGCAAATTGCTGAGAGTCGTTGGTAGATGCCGTATTGCTCGACAGAGTTGGTGTCCAGAGTTCTTTGCGTTGCCGCCTAGCTTCACGCCTTTGATGACGAGCCACTGCGATCTCTCTGCGTACGGCTCGGATCTCCTCGGCCAAGGACGCGCTCTGCTGGCTGACCGAGTTTTGTGTTTCGCGTGGGAAATGTGTAAGCCAGGCCTCCACGATCCTTTGGAGCACTGGTTTCACGGTATTAGTCCGGGCAACCAAGTGGGCCCAGAGGTCACCGAGGAACGCATGGCGAGACCCCATGGCGGACAAGATGCAAGCTTCGCACTGGGACGCGACCCTTTGTAGCGTGCCTGGCGGGCGACCGAAGACCACCTCGAAAGTCGATGGGTCCATCCATAAGGCTTGGACTGCATCTAAGCGATGAAGGAACTCCTGTATGGATAGAGGGTATTGTATATTCCTGTCGCCTCTGTCCCGGCGTAGTCGCTCAGTCTCTTTGGTCATCTCTTTCGTAACCAGAGCGAAGAGCGCATGGATTACCCAGGGGTTGAGGCCTCGGTGAGTTGGACAGAGCACAGCTGCTTGTGGCGTAAATGACAGTTGGTGTTTCTCGCTGATGCTCATCAGCCCACGCTTGACCATGTTGACTACATTGAGGTTGTCGACTCTTGGGCGGAGACAGTCGCTAGGAAGCTCACGCATACCCTTTTCTTGCTCTTCAAGCCAGTGTCCGGGGGGGTGAGCGGTGCTATACCGTTGCGATAGATAAAGGTATCGGGTCAGCTTTCTGACGGTCACGTCTGACAAATCGTGAATGCATTGAAATTGGGTAGGCTTTTCAGCAGGTGCTGGCGCGGGTCTAAGAGGTCTGGCCCACATGATTGAAATGCCTCTGCTCCCGCTTCGTTCTTGAAAAGCACCAGATATCGTTCATGTCGCGACTGGTTTACTCATCCTAACCAAGTAGTGGCTATATAGGATAGACACCTATTTCTATAGTCGACTTGCGAGAAGATCATGTTGTCGACGAATAAGCCCGAACTTTGCAGTTGTTTCTTTGAGCCTGGCACAACCGAGAACGACAAGCATGGCCTGATTTCAAAACAGACAATGCAATTCGGCCATGCTGTTGAGGCAGACGAAAGGGCACTGAGATGACAATGCAAAATGCTAGTTTGCTTTGACGAAACTCTTCCTCAGTTTCACCCCAAGAAAGAAGCACCTAGATGCCTTATTCATAACCTGCAGGTCGACAGAGCCCAGGCTTTTTGCCACGAATACTGAGCCGTTGGAATCAATCTACACTGCTGTTTTCTGTGGTCGCTGCCCTTGCACGGGATCACGTGGGAGATCTAGATTGCCCTTAGTCATGGCAGCACACACGGATCGAACCGGTCAGTTGGGGTTGGACCTAGAGAGTTGGTGTAAGCACGCGCCCATAGAACACCAACGACGATCCTGGGATACGACTTACACACCCGGAGATATTCCTCTCAAGTCGCGGAACCAGAACTGCAACGTAAGTCGTTGACTTGCCCATAATAAGCCGGCCTTTCTTCCAGTCGAAGTCATCGATCAGAGTTCGCTCCTGATGGAGCTGGAGGCATTTGCTGGCGAGCCAGATAAGCTCGAGGGGGTCAAGAGAAATCGCTCTATTGGGCCTGGCGATAAGGCGCGGCGTCTCTCCCATCGAGACGTATTTTACTAGCAACGCTGTTCTGGGCGTGGCTCGATTGACCATGCTACCTCTTCGTGTTGCTGCCAGCTCGCTTGAACCATCCCGTGAAACACAACCAAAAGGAAAACAAGCCCACTTTCCATCAAGCCTGCTATTAAGAGGAAGAGTGAAGCTAGCCTCTGATGCGGCGCATGCCATAAAATCTCAAGTTGCACGAGCGCCATGCCCATCCATACCCACCCTCTCCCATCGTACAGACCTGATATCAAACGGCTCAACTCCCATACCATGCTCGACTTTGTTCGTTATAGACGTAAAGGTTTGAAAACAGCAAAGTTGATAGTATCATACGTGGTACCGGTGGTCTTGTTCCTGTCTCATTCGTTCCAGGCGAATCTTGGCGGCTTCGGTACCATCGTCCGGTGTTGCAGGTTCCTTGAACCATGGATGCTGCAATGCCTGCTTCGCCGTGATGCGGTGATGGGGGTCGTAGACGAAGATCTTCCGGAGGAGATCCAAAAAGTTTTTGAAATAGGTCGTGTTCGATGGGATGATGTCCTGAAAGCCGTCAGTGAGCCGGTGTTTCTCTGATCTCCCGCGAATATAAAACGCTTACCTCCAGGCGTCTCATTGCCTTAACGAATCTCTTGGAAGCCCGTGTTGTCTCCGGTGTGGGGTAGTCGAGCTTCAGTCGTTTGAAGTACCTGTAGAAAACGGTTAAAATCAAACATGCCCGGTTCAAGCGGGGTGACTTACTTAGAGGCCGGGTTGCCGCCACTTCGGGTGGCCATCTTGTTGACGGCCTGAACAAGACTAGAGTCTATTCTCTGACCGACGACCATCTCCATCATAGCAAGGTGTTCGAGGTTATCGTGGGTTTGGAAGAGGGCGTCGCCAGTGAAGAACTCGACTAGAATGCAACCAATACTCCAAATATCACAGGGAAACGACCATCCGAGACCCAGAATAATCTCCGGCGCCCGGTAATGGCGGGTGGATACGACTGAGCTGTGGTATTCATCCTGGAAAGTAGCAGAGCCAAAGTCGATGAGTCGAATCTCGGTGTCCAACAAAACTCTGCGTTGGTTGGCCTGACGGTTTACGGTTGTGGATGAGGACGGTATCTTCCTGTTGTAGGTAAATGTTTGGTATGCGCTGTCACACAAAAGAATGTTTTCGGGCTTCAGGTCGGTGTGGATGAGATTGAGATCGTGGAGAACTTATAAGGTTGTCAGCAGTAGTCTTACGTGCACTTTGGCAGCATTGTACTCACAGGCGACGCTGGTAAAGAGCTGGCGAGCGAAACTCTGAATCTGGCTGTTAGGGAAAGGGACAAAGCTGTTGCTTTTTAAGAAATCGAAGACACTCTGTCCAAGAAGGTCCATGACGATGCAGATATGGCCACGGTAGTCAAAACAGTCACGCAGGTGAATGCAGCGATTGCGGTTCTCGTTGTCATTCTCCTTCAGCGTGGCCAGAACTCGGAGCTCAATTCGAGAAGCATCTCGGTACTTCTGCACCGATCGGATGATCTTGATCGCAACAGACTTGTTTCTGCGTCGGTCTCGAGCCTGGACGACCTTGCCGAAGGTTCCTTGCCCAAGTAGTTTGACCATTTGGTCTGTGGCAATCGTTAGCAGTCTGAGTCAACCAATACTCTGTGGGGAGATGGTCCTCACATTCTTTTGTCAGGTCTGCATCAGGAACAACAATGTAATGTCCGTCATCATCGTCGACCTTGGCGTTCTTGTTGTAGCCGTTCTGAGATAACGTCAGCAAATGGGACAGGCACGTGAACAGTGGGACAAAGCATACATCCTGGACCACTCGTACGTGCACGTCGGAGGCCTTCTTAGGGGGATAGGGAGGAGGCTTATAGCTGACGAATGGATCGCTGAGGCCTTCGACCTCTCTCTTCTTCGCCTCTTGAGCGATCTGTTGACGAGTCCTCTTCCTTTTTTGGCCAGGTTGCGCCTCGTAATATTCCTGTCCATTCGACGAAAGGGACGTGGCGGTGGTGGTATGGATAACCGAGTTCGTCGTTCGGTCTGTGGAAATGGTCGACCCGCTAGGAGTGCCGTTGTGATGAGGAGTGGTTGTGTGGGAGGCTGCGTACTTGTTGTTGTGGTAGACGGGGTCGTACGGCTGAGGCTCGTCGTCTCGTTTCCGCTTCTTGGGAACAGGACGACTGCTGGCACCATTGGCGGCGATGCCATTGCCGTTGGACACGACCCTTACGCCGTTGCCGACGGCCTTGCCCTGCTCCGGCTCGGGAGTGTCATCGATGACTATGATTTCCTTGGGGAGACCATTTTTGTAAAACTTGTTCCAGTCAGGCTCCTTCGAGCGTCTTCGCTTACGACCCGACTGGGAGGATTGGGAGTGTGAGTTGGAAGGCATTGCGGTAATGTAGTTCACGTCGGGGCTCGAAGCGTCGTGGATGGTCCTCGAAGTGGCTAACGAGGCTGAAGGGCCTAGGCCATTTGAACCGGCGTGACTGGCAGTAGAGGTAGTAGAGTAGGCGATGCCCGACGAGCTGGCGTACGAGGCAGGCAATCTCGCTGTCGCCGTCGAGGACGAAGTGGAAACGATTGGATTCGCGGGCTGACGGTACGATGAGCCCGTGGCAGTAGAGGCCTGGTATGGCTGATGATTGTAGGGGTAATGAGGATGATGATAGTGCGAGTGAGGTGGCAATGTCGCAGTGGCCGTTGTCGGGGTCGACATGATTCTCCTCGTGCGTTGCCGGAGTCGTGGGAATCACCTTTGGTGTGGAGGGTGAAAGCGAGGACGAGGAAAGGAAAGTTCGACGGTTGAGGGAAGGCGGTAGGAAGTTGGGTTCGCAGGTCTTCCTTCCTCTTTACCAGCGCTGCCGGTGCGGTACTGCTGGGTACGTGCCCACTGGTCCTTTTGGGGGGGCTTTCAAGTCCAAACAGTGGATTCGGGCTTGGTCCAAGGTGGTTTTCCCTTGAGGGAGTTGAGAGCAGAAGGGAGGTGGGCTTCAGCGCCCAGTGTTCAGCGGTCGGCCAGTGAAGAATGTGCCCTGTGTGCGGCCGCCGAGTTTCTGCGGTGTGGGTGCCTTGTGTTGTGTGTGGTGTGTGTGGTGTGTGGGCGTGTGGTGCGGACTAAGCTACAGGCTGACGGGCAAAACAGTGTGGTTTTGCGTCTCGTCGCTGCGGTACCGCTAACCTTGAAAATGGACTCAAGGGTCTTCGGCTTGGGGTACCCGAGTCGTGCACGAACTGTGGCTGGTACGGTGCGGGTGCAAAGGGTACGGATAATGTGTCGTGAGTTTGGTGGCAGTGTAATGGTGGGCCAGGAAGGGAGGAGTCAAGGATTCGTTTGATGACGAGTATGTCTCTCTCGCGTCGGGCAACGTCTTGCTACATTGAAGGATATTGAGATTTTTTTTTTTTTTCAATTTTCTACTCCTTTCTTTCTTTGTATATGGTTTGATTCTCGTCCGAGAGAGCAGGTAGGCAGGAGCAGTGGAAAAAAGTGGAAAGAAAGGCAAGGAGAAACGAGCTGGGAGCCGAAAGCGAGGGAGAGAGGGAGACAGAGAGAGAGAGAGAGAGAGAAGAGAGAAGGGGAAAAAAAAGGTCGCCGCAGTCAGTCAGTGGTGCACGATTGTGGTCGAATAAGTGACGAGGTTCCGAGGGATGGCCGCCGCTTGATGAGGTGAGAAAGGTGGAGGGCCCTGGACGGACAGGAGAGGACCAATTGTGGAGCAAATGGGTGTGACGAAGGACGAGCACGGGAAGGACGAAAGGGCATTGGCGTGGTGGATTTGGATGTGGGCGAAGAGAGAGAGAGGTGGGTGCGTGCGTGCGTGTGTGGTAGTGGTGTAGGGTGGAAGCGGAAATGGAAGTTGATAAAGTGGATGAGGGGCGGGGACGATGGCAATTGCAAGACAGACAGGCGGTACTTTGGTTTGCCGCCTGTCCAGAGCCTGACACGGTGTACCTTCCAGTCTAGCCGAGCAGGCAGATGGGTACCTACTATGTACGTTCCTCGTCGACGATTGGCCCGCCGTTTACGGATACTTTTTCAGGCTTCCCAGCTGCCAGGGCTGTCTTAATCTCGTCAGTGGATGGTCATGATAACCAAAGCAGAAAACAAGACCGACTGCACAGGCACGAGGGAGATTTGTTGTTGGGGTCGTCGAATGGTCCAGTTTAGCCCACTATACTACACCTAGCAAGTACGGATACTGGGAGGGAAACAAGAAAAACAAGGGAGCAAAACGAAGGGCGTAAGGTAGCGCCACTACCTCGCAGAGTAGGTATCGATGTGCACTCTCAGGATCAGGAAAAACAAAGCCCGTTGCTGGCTTGTGGAGGTGCACTGTTGGCCTCAGGCGGCGGGGGAGGGAAGCGAGCGAGTCGAGCGCCCAAGGAAGGTACTATGTACTTTGTCGCATTCGCTGCGCACACCTTGCCAACCTACTTAGCTGCCTAGGTACCTACCTACAGGTCCAGATGCCGACACGCACCCGGACTAAGGCAGGTACTTGACGACAGCCGCAATCTGACGTGACGACGCAGGTATCCCAGTTATCCGCAACTTGGTAATCTTGTCCCTTTCTCAACGTCCCTCATCGTGCGGTATCGCGCGACGCTCTTTAGAGATGCAGTGGTGGAACCCCTCTGTTCTCCGGTATGCGCTTGATCCGACGGCGCTGAGAGGGCTGAGCCGGTGTTCAGAAACACTCCAGAGTAAGGTAGCCCGTGTTTTAGGTCCTCTCACTCACTTCCGAGTTGCAAGCTGCATCGGCGGCGTTTTGAGCGTCGCCGAAGGAACCTAGAGTGGCTCCCGTGCGCTTATTGGCCTCTTCGCTTCGCCCAGGTACTCCTGTGCTTACAACAGGGGGCCTGTCACTGATGTGCGGGTGTACATAGTAGGTAGGTTGCAGGGCACTTCAGACTTGATGCACACCATATTTCACTCCCGTGTGTCTGTGTCCGTGTCTGTCTGTGTCTATGTCGAGGTACCTAGGTATCCAGGACTGTGTCTACCTAGGTAGCGAACAGTCTCGCCGGATATATCCGTATATATATACTTACATAGTTATATAATATTATTATGATTATTTATCCTTTTTCTTATCTGTCGGTGATTCGTACTGCCTTATCATCACATGGCTTGCAGCTTTCATTTCGTCTGCTCCGTTTGGAGAGGAAACAAAAACGACGACTGCAAATACACGAGGATGAAAATGGAACGCAACAAAGCACACCCACCACTGCCGCCGCTGCCGAGGCACAGGGAAGGAACGACGCCGTGACTTGAGAGCAGCAGGTGCAAGTCAGCAGCTCAAAATAAGATATATTCCTACTTCGTGCAGTAGCTGCTGCTGTGTCTCTACTTGGGTATGTTCTTACCTTGGGTTAAGGAACTCTGGACGACAGAAAGGAAGGAAGGAAGCGTCGCCTCACTGGAACTGGAACTGGTCCGTCAGGCCGCATTCTAGCGCCAACATGGCATGGCGTCGTGCCTGTGCCTCGCCTCGTCCAAGACAGTTTACCTACAGTGTCGATACATATCTGCGTCCTTCAGTCCATTCCGCCAAACCCACCGCCCATCTATTGCCGCCCTCCCCTCCTCCCAAGCCGTCTTTGCAGCCAGCCCGTTCCCCTCTCGAACCGGACGTCACCCGTTATCGCTTGCCTCTTCCAGCCTAGGTACCACGCCACCAGCCTTTTGGCCACATTTCTCTTCGACGCCTCGGGGAGCCATGCTTTCCAATGCCATCTGACTCAACGGTTGACAAACTTCTGGCCTCGTCGAGGCCCAAGACATGTCCTTCAACAATAATGCATTCGGACAGCTACCACAGACGACCCTCAAGTCCAGGTCATGCCCCGGTATCGTGGGCTCCGTGGTACTGTCACGCTCACAAAATCAAGACGCGCCAACCCAATGGCTGGAGACGGCTTCACGCTCCTCTCACCCACTTTACGCTCTCGGTGGGTCGCTCTGGGGTCAGCCCTCCACCCAAACCTGGCTGCCCGCCAATCTGCCTCCATGACGGCTCTCCAGACGGGTTTAGCGTCCCGCCGGCCTGGGCAGATCGCCTTCCAAAGTCACGTCGTTGCACAGCACCTTGCCGTCACTCTGTTCACTAATTCACGGAGACTGAACTCCGGCCGATAACGACGGGTGGATCAAAGCCTAGTTGGATAAATGGTGTCAGCCCCCTCCCAGCCGGGCCTCGTTGCGACCGCTCCACAACACACCATAGAGGGCAGGGCAGAACATCGACGAAGGGAACAACCAACCTGACATATCGGGTTTCTTTGCTGACAAAAAGTGCCCTGCCCATCTTACCTATGTATTTCCCAGAACACGACCCTGGCACCACATTGAATTTACCCGAAGTCCTATGCCCTGAAGGCTGCAATACATCAGAAGGTTTGAGCAAACGCAGACATGATGAGTTTAGACTTCGCCTTTTCGCCTCACACGAATAGTCTGGTGGCTCACTCCAGCCATTTAGCTCCCTTATGCCTGTCTCGTTGATCCAGCTGGTGGTACTCGAGGCTTCCGTAACCCAGCGCCAACTATTCTATGCAGTCCAAACGCGACCCAAAGCATGATCCACACATTCCAGGCAATTAGCCAAGATCTGACCGCACGGAACGGAAAGCTAAAGGACCACTGCTTACCTAGTTGCTTCCCATGAGCCCACGGGGAAATGGAACCGTTTGTCTGCTCAATCAGGCAGCCCAACCCTAGCCGTCGTGCCGTCTTCTCCCCTCAACGGCAATCCTTCTCTCACACATCAGAATGGCAGACGGCTCCTCGTAGCGCCATCAATCAACTACGGACGGGAAACGCAACACAGTGGGGAGGAGGCAAAGGGTCGCACTACCTAGCCATCACGACAGTGGGAAAAGGGCACTCGACCATCCTCTTCATTGGACGAGCAGCCCGTCTCCACGGCGTTGCGCACTCTTACAACATGGTGCAGGGCAGGGCAGGGCAGGCACACACACCCTCGTGGTGCTGTCATCAGCCCCTCCCTCAAGTAACCCGACCAACATGATGCCTGTATCTGCGCGACTCCCATCGGCCACGAATTGATCTTTTCAAGCAGCCAGAGTTCCACTAGAGGATGCATCTTTCACGGGGGTTCGTTTGCTGGCACAGGACATCTTTGCCACAGGACGAATCCTTTTGTCAGGGATTGGGTAACTATCCGCCCCAACAGAGCGCTTTTCAAGTAACAGACGCATGCGAGGGTACCGACCCACCATCGCCGCGACGCTTGCTCGGGGGGGGGGGGGGGGGGGGGGGGGGCCTTTGCTGTGCGCCCCTCTGGTACAAGGCGTAAAGTGCCTGCATGACTCTAGGACGTTGAATCCGTGGCAACGAGACCATACAGGCATAGGCCCATATGCTATTCCTCACCGCGAAACATTGGTGATGAGTGGCCCAGAACGACCAACCTATAGTCCCCCCTCATTAATGATCACCAAAAGCGACGTTCCTATGTATGCTGCTTGGCCGCCATTATCAATAATGGCCACGCTAGACAACAACTTGACCCCAACGTTTGCATACAGTGTACATCCATCCACGTACAAAGAAGACTCCGCATCCTGCTGACGGCCAGGCAAGCACATTTGCGATGTTCTGCTCTCGTTGCTCCCGCATCCCAGCCTAAGCCTGCTGTACCATCTGCCATGATTGCTGCAATGTTTCAGCTCTTCGAGCAAAAGCACGCT